AAACTATTCTTTTTTTCTTTTTTAATTACTTTTAATTCCTTTTAATTTATTATTTTTGAATTTTTTCTTTTCAGCGCGCAAATTGACCCCTCTATTGACCAGCTCAAAGCCATGGTGGCGGACCAGCAAAGCAAGCTGGGGGCCCTGCAGCAGGAGCTCTCGGGGATTTTGAATGAAGTTTCTGCAGGAAAGCAGGCCTTTCAAGAAAGTAAGACTTTTCATTTTGCATGCAGCAGCCTCTGTTGCCTTTAATTGAATTCTTTTCCCCCCTTTGCATGCAAACAGCTCGCCAAAACGCGGGCCCCGGGGCCTCCGTCGAAATTCAGTTCCCGGGGCCCCAGGGGACCCCAGGTAAGACTTTTGGACTTAGTCGCAAAAAGGCTTTTGGTTTGATTTCTTGGATTTGCTGCAGCAGCAAATGCAGGAGCTGCTGCTGCGCATGCAGCAGCTGGTGGACTTTCGGGCATTTTGCAGCGAATGCAGGAGCCGGAAATGAGTATTTAAATTAAATTAAATAAATTTATTTTATTTTTATTTTATTTAATTCTTTTAAATTCCTTCAGTGCCCATTCCCGTGATGGTCGTGAAGCCGGACTCCGTCGCAGGTTTGCGTTTTTTCACTTAAATGTTTTCTTTCAATTAATTTAATTCAAATTAATTCAATTTAATTCAAATTAATTCAATTTAATTCAAATTGATTCAATTTAAATCATTTTAATTCAAAATTAATTTAATTCAATTTAATTCAAATTAATTCAAATTACTTGGAATTAATTTGAATTAATTTGAATTAAATGGAATTAAATTGAATTAAAATGAACTAATTTGAATTAAATTGAATTAAAATGAATTAATTTGAACTAATTTGAATTTAAAACTTTGAATTAATTTGAATTTCTTTCAGACGTGGAGGAGGCGATGACTCAAGTGATGGTAAGTGGAAGGACTTGAAAGAAAATTTGAACTTTTCAAATTTATGAAATTTGTTTCTGAAAAATTAATTTTCTTTTAATTAATTAATTGCTTTTAATTAATTAATTGCTTTTAATTAATTAATTGCTTTTAATTAATTAATTGCTTTTAATTAATTAATTCCTTTTAATTAATTAATTCCTTTTAATTAATTAATTCCTTTTAATTAATTAATTCCTTTTAATTAATTCCTTTTAGTTGATTAATTCCTTTTAAATAAGTAATTCCTCCATATTAGTTAATTCATTTTAATTAAGTAGTTCCTTTTAATTAATTAATTCCTTTATATTAATTAATTCCTTTTAGTTAATTAATTCCTTTTAATTAATTAATTCCTTTTAATTAGTTAATTCCTTTTAATTAATTAATTCCTTTTAATTAATTAATTCCCTTTAATTACTTATTTCCTTTTAATTAATTGATTCCTTTTAATTAACTAACTCCTTTAAGTTAATTAATTCCTTTTAATTAACTAATTCCTTTTAATTAATTCCTTTTAATTAATTAATTCCTTTTAATTAAATAATTCCTTTTAATTAATTAATTCCTTTTAAACAATTAACTCCTTTTAATTAATTAATTCCTTTTAATAAATGAACTCCTTTTAATTAATCAATTTGTTTTAAATCAATTCATTTGTTTTAAATCAATTATTTTTTTTAATTCAATTAATCTGTTTTAATTCAATTAATTTGTTTTAATTCAATTAATTCGTTATAAATGAATTAATTCATCTGAAATCAATTAACTCATTTCAAATTAATTCATTTCCAATTAATTAATTCATTTTAAACAAATTAATTGATTTAAAGTGAAATAATTAACTTAAATTAATTGATTTAAAACGAATTAATTGCTTTAAAATGAAATAATTCATTTTAAATGAATTAACTTATTTTAAATCAATTAATTCATTTTAAATCAATTAATTCCCCACTGTTGATTAATTAATTCTTTTTTGATGAATAATTAATTTTATTTCACTTTCCAATTTTCCACTTCGTTAATCTAATTAAATAAATGAATTAATCGAATAATTGAATTAATTGAATTAATTGAATTAAATAAACGAATTAATCGAATAAATGAATTAATTGAATTAATTGACTTAAATAAACGAATTAATCGAATAAATGAATTAATTGAATTAATTGAATTAAATAAACGAATTAATCGAATAAATGAATTAATCAAATTAATTGAATTAATTAAACAAACGAATTAATCAAATAAATGAATGAATCAAACTAATCAAATTAATTGAATTAATTGAACAAATGAAGTAATGCATAAAATGCACAAGTTGTTGCTTCAAGAAAACATTCTTTTCTTTATTCCTTTCTTTCCTTTATTCCTTTCTTTCCTTTATTCCTTTCTTTTCTTTATTCCTTTCTTTTCTTTATTTCTTTCTTTTCTTTATTCCTTTCTTTTCTTTATTCCTTTCTTTTCTTTATTCCTTTCTTTTCTTTATTCCTTTCTTTTTTTTATTCCTTCAGGAAGAACAAGCTGCTTTGAACGGCGCGGAAACAGCAAAGGCGGAAGAAGCTGCAGAAATGAAAGTGGAAAGTCCGGAGGAGCAGTTGGAGGTGAGTCTGCAGCGCTGCGGTGTACGTACACCCCAAACCACCCCCCGCAGGAAGCCATCGCCAAAATCGACAAACTCGAAGCCCAAAAGACGCACTACAAATACGACATGCACTCCGTCCAAAACGCCTTCAGCCAGTAAACTCGGGTGTACGTACACCCCAGCGGCGCTGCGGTGTACGTACACCCCAGCGGCGCTGCCGTGTACGTACACCCCAGCGGCGATGGGGTGTACGTACACCCCGACGCTGCGCACGCGGAGCTCCGACAAAGGCAGTTGGACTGAAAAAGAGGCAAATAAATGGACAAATAAATGCACTAATTCAGTGTCTTTGTTTAATCATTTGTTTAGTTTATTTGTTTGCTTTATAAAGTGTTAAATAGCATACGCTCCCGCGCTAAACCCTTTCCTACACCCTAAACCCTAAAACGGGGTATATGAGCTGCTGCGAAGCTGCACCCCGCTAGTGCTGCAGACACAGCATCAACAACAGCAGCAGCAAAAGCAGCAGAAGCAGTAGAAACAGCAGCAGCAGCAGCAGAAAAAGCAGCAGCACAAACAGCAGCAGAAACATCAGCACAAACAGCAGCAGCAGCAGCAGAAAAAGCAGCAGCAAGACAGCAACCGCAGCAGCACTGCAGCAGCAGCAGCAGCACAGCAGCAGCAGCACAGCAGCAGCAGCAGCAGCACTGCAGCAGCAGCAGCAGCAGCAGCAGCAGCAGCAGCAGCAGAAGAAAGAACTAAGCCCCTGGAGGGGCGGCGTTAGTTTGGCTCTGTAGAAATAAAAACCGAAAAAATTTCGCCGAATTGCCGAAATGAACACAAGAGCAAATTGGCTGCAAAGCGGCGCCTAAAGAGCAGTTGGCTGCGCACTGGCTGCAAGAGGAGTTCATTTTGATTCATTTAATTCATTTAATTCATTTAATTCATTTTAATTCATTTAATTTGTTTAATTTGTTTAATTTGTTTAATTTGTTTAATTTTTATTTCTTCCACTTCTTCTGCAACTCAAATTTCGAAAGCCGCCGAGACTGTCGGCGGCTGGGGCGCTCGCGTTCGGGTGTATGCGCAGCTCGGCAGTACTGCTGCGGCGGAGGCGCAGCGACACATTTATGCATTTCTTTTATTCTTTGCATTTCTTTTATTCTTTGCATTTCTTTTACTTTTTGCATTCTTTATTTGAGTTTTATTTCTGTAATTTGCAATTATTTCCACTCAGAAGCTCTCGAAGCTGCTGCAGCTCGAGCGGAAGCAGCATCCGGCCGGGTCGAGTTCCCGGTCGCGCTGCTCCTCAGCTGCAGCAGCAGCAGTTGCGGCTGCTGCTGCTGCCCGCTGGAGTTGGTTCCGGCCAGGCCACGGCCCGCAAAAGCGTCAGCGCCTGCACTTGCTGCTGCGCTCCCTGCTGCTGCTTCTGTGCACAGTTTCCTCCCAGCAGCAGCAGGCGCTGCAGCAGCAGCAGCAAAGTGCCTCGCCGCAGCAGCAGCAGCAGCAGCAACCCCACCCCCGCAGCTGCGCCACCACTCCCGCCAACAAAACCTGCAGCCGCAGCAGCAAAAGCCGCCCAGCCGCCGCAGCACCACCTGCAGCACCACCACAGCCGCAGCAGCAGCTGCAGCACCACCACCGCAGCAGCAGCAGCTGCAGCACCACCACCGCAGCAGCAGCAGCTGCAGCACCACCACCGCAGCAGCAGCTGCAGCACCACCACCGCAGCAGCAGCAGCTGCAGCACCACCACCACCGCAGCAGCAGCTGCAGCACCACCACCGCCGCAGCAGCAGCTGCAGCACCACCGCCGCAGCAGCAGCTGCAGCACCACCACCGCCGCAGCAGCAGCTGCAGCACCACCACCGCAGCAGCAGCAGCAGCACCACCACCGCCGCAGCAGCAGCTGCAGCACCACAACCACCGCAGCAGCTGCAGCACCACCGCCGCAGCAGCAGCAGCAGCAGCAGCAGAGTCAGTTGATGCAGGCCATGTCGGAGACGTTGGTTCTGCTGCAGGTCTTGCGCATGAGGGAGACAGTGTGCTCCGTGACCAGCGCCAGCGAAGGGACTTTGCGCATAAGTCCGCAAAACTCTTCGAAGTTTATTTTCCCGTCGCCGTCCGCGTCCGCCTCGTGCAGTTCTGCTGCTGCGTCCGTCTCCAGGTCCCCCGCCATGTGAAACACCTGCCGCAGCTCCTCCGCGCTGCAGCAGCAGCAGCAGCAGCAGCAGCAGCAGCAGCAGCAGCAGCAGCAGCAGCAGCAGCAGCAGCAGACAGCGGCAGCAGCAGCAGCAGCAGCAGGAGGAGGAGGAGGAGGAGGAGCGGCATCAGCAGCAGCAGCAGCAGCAGCAGCAGCAGGAGCAGCAGGAGGAGGAGGAGGAGGAGCAGCAGCAGCAGCAGCAGCAGCGGCAGCAGCAGCAGCAGCAGCAGCAGCAGCAGGAGCAGCAGCAGCAGCAGCAGCAGCAAAACGCACGTAAAAACGGGCAGAAATGAGTTGGCAGCAAATTGGGAATTCGAAAACAAAAGAACTCAAATGATAAATTTATTCCGCAAATCGAAGTTGCAGAAATAACTCCAATTGAGACATTTAAAGCCAAATAACTTCAAATAAATAAATCCAATTAACTTCAAATAAATTCAAATAACTTTAAATAAATAAATCCATTTAACTTCAAATAAATAAATCCATTTAACTTCAAATAAATAAATCCATTTAACTTCAAATAAATAAATCCAATTAACTTTAAATAAATAAATCCAATTAACTTTAAATAAATAAATCCAATTAACTTTAAATAAATAAATCCAAATAACTTCAAATAAATCCATTTAACTTCAAATAAATCCAAATAACTTTAAATAAATCCATTTAACTTCAAATAAATAAATCCAATTAACTTCAAATAAATCCAAATAACTTTAAATAAAGCCAAATAACTTTAAATAGATCCATTTAACTTCAAATTAACTTCAAATAAATCCATTTAACTCCAAATAATTTCAAATTAACTTCAAATAGATCCATTTAATTTCAAATAAATCCATTTAACTTCAAATAAATCCATTTAATTTCAAATAAATCCAAATAACTTCAAATAACTTCAAATAGATCCATTTAATACTCCATAGATCCATTTAACTTCAAATTAACTTCAAATAAATCCATTTAACTCCAAATAAATCCAAATAACTTCAAATAACTTCAAATAAATCCAAATAACTCCAAATAAAACCATTTAACTTCAACTTAACTTCTCAAATGAATCCATTTAACTCCAAATAACTTCAAATAAATTCAAATAACTTCAAATAAATTCAAATAACTTCAAATAAATTCAAAGAAATCCAAATAACTTCAAATAACTTCAAACAACTTCAAATAAATTCAAATGAATGAAACGAACTCCAAAAACTCCAAAAACTCCAAAAACTCCAAATAACTTCAAATGACTTCAAATAAATTCAAATAAATTCAAATAAATTCAAATGACTTGAAATAAATTCAAATAAATCCAAATAACTTCAAATAAATTCAAACAACTTCAAACAACTTCAAACAAATCCAAATAACTTCAAATAAATGCAACGAACTCCAAAAAGTTTCAAACAACTCCAAACAACTCCAAAAACCTCCAAACAACTTCGAAAACCTCCAAAAACTCCAAACAGCTCCAAATAACTCCAAAAACTTCAAACAACTTCAAATAACTTCAAACAACTCCACACAACTCCACACAACTCCAAAAACCTCCAAATAACTCCAAAAAACCTCCAAAAGCATCCAAACAACTCCAAAAAGAACCCCAAAAGTCCACACAACTCCAAAAACCTCCGAACACCTCCAAAAACCCCCCAAAACTCCAAAGAACTTCAATAACTCCAAAAACATCCAATCAACTCCAAAAACATCCAATCAACTCCAAATAACCCCAAATAACTCCAAACAACCTCCAAAAACATCCAAATAACTCCAAACAACTCCAAAAACCTCCAAACAACTCCAAACAACTCCAATCAACTCCAAAAAACTCCAATCAACTCCAAAAAACTCCAAAAACCTCCAAAAAACTCCAAAAAACTCCAATTAACTCCAATTAACTCATGGGAAGAAAGGAAGCAGCAGCAGCAAGAGCGGACCTGACGTGTCCGTCTCCGTTGATGTCGAGGACGCGGAAGGCGGCCCTGCAGGCCTCCTCGCGGATGTAGTGGGACTGGTGGAGACAAGCAGCAATGAACTCCGTATAATCTATGCAGCCAGTTGCTGCGGTGTCCACCCCCCGCAGCACCTCCTGCAGCACCAAGTCCGGCGGCAGCAGCACGCCGCCGCGGCGCAGCCCCTCGCGGACTTCGTCCAGAGAAAGAACTCCGTCGCCTCTCGAGTCGAGTTGCGTGAAGACTTTCTTCAGACTTTCGATCTCCGAGTCGTCCAAGTGCTGCGCTATCACCGTCAGCGCCAGCTTCTTCAGCCGACTCAGGCTCTGGAACCGGCGGAACTTGCTCAGAATGTCTATTCCTGCAGCAGCAGCAGCAACACTGCAGCAGCAGCAGCAGCAGCAGCAGCAGCAGCAGGAGGAGGGGAGTACCTAGGGGCTGTGTGTCCAGGCTGTCGGGGAGGTGCATGTTGAACCACTGGTGGCGAATGGCCTGTTCGGCGCTGATGCGGGTCCTGGGGTGTCTGTCCAGCAGGCGGGAGATGAGGTCCTTGGCCTGTAGAGACACCCGAGCCCACTCCGCCTCCGGAAAAGTGTAGTGGCCTGTCCTCACTTTATTCATAATTCCCCGATCCGAAGGAGCATTAAAAGGCGGATAGCCGCACAATAAAATGTACATCATCACCCCAGCCGACCACACGTCGCACTCCGGACCGTAGCGACCCTCCAGCACCTGCGGTGTACGTACACCCCAACAGCAGCAGCAGCACCGGAGTGCAGCAGCAGCAGCAGCGGAATGCACCACCAGCAGCAGCGGAATACACCAGCAGCAGCAGCAGCAGCAGCACTACCACCCCAGCAGCAGCAGCAGCAGCAGCAGCAGCAGCAGCAGGACCTGCGGGGAGACGTAGTAGGGCGTGCCGGCCCTGGTTCTCATGGGTTGTCCGGGTTTGAACTTGGCAGCAAGTCCGAAGTCGATTAACTTCATCGGAGAGTTTTGCTGCTGATTCAAAAAGAGAAAGTTCTCCGGCTTCAAGTCCCTGTGCGCCACTCTGTGGGAATGGCAATAAGCAACTGCAGCAAGCACTTGCTTCATGACGGCGCATGCAAGCCGCTCTGTCAGTACACCCGAAGCGATCAGCCGGTCGAAGAGCTCCCCGCCGCCGCAGAACTCCATCACTAAATAAAAGTCGGAGACATCTTCAAATGTTTCAAAGAGTCGAACTATGTTTGGATGGTCCAAACTCTTCATTATTTCTATTTCTTGCCGAAATCTCTCCACGTCTTCGATGTAACACTTCGGGATCTTCTTTGCGGCTCGACGGGCCTTAGTTTGCTTGTCCACCACCAGCTTTACCTCCCCCCAAGTCCCCCGCCCTGAGCAGCAGCAGCAGCAGCAGCAGCAGCAGCGAGTGATGCAGCAGCAGCAGCAGCAGAGGGCAGCAGCGGGAGGGGAGGGGGACGGGGAGGGGCAGGGGAGCAGCAGCAGCAGCGGGAGGGGGAGATACGGGAGACACGCAGCAGCAGCAGCAGCAGCAGCAGCGGGAGACACGCAGCAGCAGCAGCAGCAGCAGCAGCAGCAGCAGATCGGACCAATGGTCTTGTCCATGAGGTAGTAGTCGGAGATGGGGCCGGTGTTGGCGAGGATGAAGGCGGAGCGTTTGAGGGCGGGGCGGAGGCCGCCGCCGGCCTCGTCGGCTGCTGCAGTCGGCGGCAGCGAAGCAGCAGCAGCAGCAGCAGCAGCAGCAGCAGCAGCAGCAGCAGCAGCAGCAGCAGCGGGGGGGGGCGGGGCCCCGAAGCCGTCCTCCGCGTCGGAGAGCCCTTTGCAGTCGCCGGCGCCCTCCCGCGGTGTACGTACACCCGGCTGCTCGGGCGTCCGCACACCCGGCTGCTCGGGTGTACGTACACCGCACTCGGGTGTCTGCGCAGCCGGCTGCTGCTCGGGTGTACGTACACCGCGCGAAGCGCAGCAGTCGGGAGACAGCGGAAAAGCCGTCACCGAAGCAGCAGCAAGAGAGCCCCAAACGTTCTGGACTCTGGAGAGACAGTTGGCGGGAAAGGAGGCCCTCCTGTTGCTGCTGAAGGCCTCCCACTCCACCCCCCCCCCGGCCCGCAATATCAGAAACTTGTACTCCAGCGACAGGGGCCCCCCGGGGGGCCCCCCGGGGGGCCCCGGGAAGGCCAGGGGGGGGGAGCGCCAGGTGGGGAAGGAAGCCGCGTCAGTGGTCAAGACCACTGCCTTGTGGGGTGACCAGTGGCCCAGGCGCTCGTGGCTGCCCACGAGCGCCAGCAGGTCGCCCGGCCGCGTCGCCGAGCAGCGGCACTCCCACAGCACCTGCAGCATTGCTGCTGCAGCAGCAGCAGCGCAGCAGCAGCGCAGCAGCGCAGCAGCGCAGCAGCAGCAGCCGCGGCAGCAGCGGCGGCAGCAGCGGCAGCAGCAGCGGCAGCAGCAGCGGGAGCAGCTCCGCGCGCGAAAGTCCGAAAGACCTCACCACCACACAAAGAGGAGCACGAGCAGCAGCAGCAGCAGCAGCAGCAGCAGCAGCGGCAGCGGCAGCAGCAGCAGCAGCAAGCGCCTCCGCCGCACTGACGCTGCGAGTCCGCGAGGAATTCAAGAAAGCTCTTCGTTTGCAAAAGCCGAAAGAATTGCTGCAGCCGCGGCTGCACACGCGGCGCGGCGCGGCGGCATGCGCCGCCGCCGCCGCCGCGGGGCCCCGACTTGAACACACAGCCCGCGGCTTCTGCGGGCTTTCTCGGGCTTTTTGGCTTTCTTTTTCGCGCGTTGCTTCGCTTTTATTCCCAACTCGCCGCTGCTGCCGCGGAAGCTCGCAGCAGCCGCGCAAACAGCCGCGCTTTCCGCTTTCCAAGCAGCCCAGCGGCGCCGCGCCGCCGCCTCGGCGCACAACCGCGCAGCTTCGCGCCCAAAACGCCTTCTTTTCCGCTGCTTTCTCCGCCCCTTTTAATCCAATTTCCACTTTTATTTCCAACTCCGCCAAATCGCCAGCTTCCCGGCGACTGCCGCCGCCGGATTCCGCAGCTTTCCCTCCCGCTGCCCGCCGGGTGTCACGACACCGCGCCTCGCGCCGCCCGACTCGCGAAACCTCCAAACCTTCACTCTTTTCCAAACTTTCGCGCAAATTAATTAACTCCAAATAAACAAATTAAATAATCTCAAACTCGCCACTTACGCAAAACTAACCGCCCAGGCCGCCCGCCAAATCCCCACGCTGCGTCGCAACTCCGAAATCCGCAGCTTTGCAACTTCCAAAATGCTTATCTCATTCCACAGTTACACATAATACACACATTTGCACACACATGCATATATTTAATATATATATATATACATATATATATAATATATATATATATGAATTGCATTTATATACATATATATATATGCATATATATATATATATATATATATATATATATATATATATATATATATATATATATATATATATATATATATGTGTATTAAGTTACCTATTAGAAAGGGGCTACGCCGCGGCCGAGGCCGCTTGGAAAGCTCTTTAGTTCAATTCAGAAAATTGCAAACGAAAAAGCCGCTCGGCTGTCCGCGAGCTGGAGAGCCAACGCAGTAGTGGCTACGAGGAACGCGGAAACAGCTAGCTGGCTAGCTAGCTAGCTAGCTATCTAGCTAGCTAGCTAGCTAGTTAGCTGTACAACTGGCTAGCTAGCTGTAGAACTGGCTACTTAGCCGTGGGACTAGCTAGCTGGCTGTGAAACTGGCTGGCTAGCCACCTATACAGATACTTGGCCACATAGCTAGCTAGCTGGCTAGCTAGCTAGCTAGCTAGCTAGGTGGCTACATATTGCAAGCTATCTAGCTAACTGGCTAGCCGTAGAACTGGCCGGCTGGCTAGCTGCAGCTAGCTAGCCAGCTAGCTAGCTAGCTGCAGCTAGCTAGCCAGCTAGCTAGCTAGCTGCAGCTAGCTAGCTAGCTAGCTGCACAGAGGAACTGCTGGCTTCTGGTCTGCACTTTGCGGGAAAGCAATTCGGCTGCGACTGCGCAGTCAAGCCCTCTCTGAAGACCAAACCCTAAACCCTAACCCTAAACCCTAAACCCTAACCCTAAACCCTGAAAGTCCACTTCCCTTCTTCTGTCGCCGAGCTCGGGGGCCCCACAGTTATTAAAATCAAGTCTGGGGGCCCCCCAAATGGCGGCCTAAAGGGTACTAGTTATGTACCAAAGAGTGGCCACAAAAGCCCCTGTGGGGCCCCCTGCCTGGGGGCCCCTTGGGGCCCCCTGGGGGCCCCCGTGGGGCCCCCTGAGGCCCCTTGCTTGTGGGGCCCCCCGGGACCCCTGAAGCCCCTTGCTGTGGGGCCCTTCGGGGGCCCCTGGGGCTGGAAGGGGGGCCCCCAGGGGCCCCCAGGGGCCCCCAGGGGCCCCCAGGGGCCCCCAGGGGCCCCCAGGGGCCCCTACAGACCCTTGGGCCCGCGTCTGTGGGGTTCCTTGGGGCCGGAGTTTTTCATTTGATGAGTTTTAATTAGATTTAGTTTATTCTGTCTCTGCAGTTTGAGGTGTCTGTACACCCCCTGGCTGCTGGGGCCCCGAGCTGTTCAAAAAAGTCTTTTTGAATTTATTTAAATCTCTTTTGAGAGCAGCAAAGGCCCTTTCCTCTTCCAGCAGCACCTCCAAGTCCACGGGCCGGGGGGCCCCCAGGGGCCCCCCGCCGGGGTCCCCCGGGGGCCCCCCCGGGGCCCCCGGCGGGGGGCCCCCAGGGGGGCCCCCCAAGGGGCCTCCCAAGGGGGCCCCCAAGGGGCCCCCCAAGGGGCCCCCCAAGGGGCCCCCCAGGGGGCTCCCCAAGGGGCCCCCCAAGGGGCCCCCCGGGGGGCCCCCCGGGGGGCCCCCCGGGTCCCCGCAGGAGGGGCAGAAAGCCTTGCATGCCTTTTCGAAGTCGAGGCGAATCCACTGAAGGGCTTGGCTAGCTCGGAGGGAGCTGGTGGCTAGCTGGCTAGCCAAGAGTTCGAGGGCGCGGGAAAGAGAAAAGTGAAAGAAGTGAAGGCGGGCTTTGCGCGCGGCCAAGTCGCTGGGGTGTACGTACACCTCAGCGATGAAGCGCCCGCGACTCTCCAGAAAGGCCGCGGCACCCTCCACGGCCAAGTCCCAACGGCCTGCATGCAGCAGCAGCAGCAGCAGCAGCAGCAGCAGCAGCAGCAGCAGCAGCAGCAGCAGCAGCAGCAGCAGTAGTAGTAGTAGTGGCGGCAGCAGTAGTTGCAGCACTTCTTACGCGTTAACGCGTTAAACCCTAAACCCTAAACCCTTTTCGGGGCGCCTGTACCCCTCCACTGTCTGCCAAGACCCGCAGCACAAGATTAGGGTTTAGGGTTTAGGGTTTAGGGTTTGGGGTTTGGGGCACCTGCTGCTGCAGTGGCTCGAACTGCGAACTCGAGGTGCCTGGCTGCGTGCATGCAGCTTTGCTGCTGCTGCTGCAGCTGCAGCTGCTGCTGCGCGAGGGTTTGGGGTGTATGTACACCTGGCGCTTGTAACTTCAACCAAAATAAAAACAAATTTATTAAACTTTTCGAAAATCTAACTCGAGCAAACAGCAGCAAAAGCGAAAACACCACAGGGAAAGGCAGCAGCACCTGCCGGCAAAGCGACAAGTCCTGGGACGCAGTCTGCAGCAAACGCAGCAGCAGCAGCAGCAGCAGCAGCAGCAGCAGCAGCAGCGGTAGACGAAGGAGACAGTCAAGCCCAGACTGAGCAGCAGCAGCAACAGCAGCAGCGAGCAAAAAAGCGGCAGCAGCAGCGCAGCAGCAAGAAGAGAGGTAGTGACACCTGCATGCACATCAGCAGCAGCAGCAGCAACAGCAGCAGCAGCAGCAGCAGCAGCAGCAGCAGCAGCAGCAGCAGCAGCAGCAGCAGCAG